CTTGGGTAAAGGCTCCAATATTCACACTGCACATTAACGAAACACAGAGCAAGCATTGCCCAGTTATACTCACATGCAAGGAATCCATAGTCTGACAGTACGATCTTGAGAAGCTGAAGCAAGGAGCTGCCCATCTGGTGAGAACTGTACACTGGTCACCGCTTCCGCATGGCCTACAAATTTGTAAGCTCTGCATTGTGTCTTCAGCTTCCAAACCATAAGAAACCTATCCAAAGAGGAGGTAGCTGGCAAGAAATAAAAGATATTATGAGTCTGCTCACTGGTATTAGAAAAATCAGAGCTGAGGTCTGTGGATTTGGATTCACCAGTGAACTTACTGGATACTAGGGGGAGGGAGCAGTTATTGGGTTTTATTGGATACTCAGCCTGAGGAGAAGCCTGGCAGCCAGCAATGCCAGCACCAGGCTGTTGGAAAGACATCAGAAGACTAGAAGGAGTAAAGGACAATTCTTAACAGGCAGCTCTTCCACATACTAAGCAAACTGGCTTACAAGTACTTTAAAGATATAGAACAAAAAATCCAAAGCAGGATATCATGCACATGTCATCATGTATGAATCCAGACCTGGTGTTACCAAATACTAAGAACAAGAGACAAATTCTTCAGTGATCTCACTTTGATCTCCAAGATGGAGTTTATTTTAAGCATCAAGTGTTTAACTGTGAAAAGACAAGCCAACTTAAACTCAGGATATAATTTCTAACACTTCAGATATCTACACTAAAGTGTATATCCAAGTATGATAATTCTGTAATCCTATTTAAGTACCTATTTTTTAATACTGACATTTGTCTAGTTGAAAAACAATGTGAAGTTGTCACTCTGACAATAGAAAGAGCATGGGGTTTTTTTGCTGTCACTTTACAGAGGGAGCATACTATCTACATCTGAGAAGGCAGACGTAGCTTTTACGAGAGCCTCATCATTTTCAGGAAAATATAAGCAGCAAAAGCAATGAGCAGTTGAGTTAAACTGACAAGTGTGATATTCGTACACCCCTATTATCTTCATCTCTAAGTGCTAGCATGCAGGGAATAAATAAAAACAAGGGATTCACACTCCTACCCCTAGTACAGAAAGGGAGGGAGAGGAAGAACAGGGACCTCCTGGAAGCTGAAGAGGACATGAAAAGGATGACTCTTCTCAACCTCCTTCAGGCACCAACATAGCACAAAGGAATGGAATTTGTTTATTAGCATGTGGGTCAAGGCAAGCCTCGAACAAAATATTAGACAGTACACCCTCTTTAGGGATTTGGCCCAGAGATATATTATTTTTATTCCCAAAAGATTAGTTTCTACTAAAATATGTGGGACCAGACCATCCCTATGCCCATATGAATTGGCCTAAGTTTGACACAGAACAACAGGACAGTTTCCTCCCTTTCCAGAACTCAATTTTACAGTAGACTCTTTCTCAGTGTACTTGAATGACTTCTTTTTTTCCCCTTTGATTCAAAAAAATGTGACCTGGAGTGGCATAAAACAGAAACAAAAGAGTGAAATGTAATCTAAAGCTGAATTTCAAGGTATCAGGTTGTAAACATGAAACAGACAAGACTGATGGTTTCTAAAACAAATAATGCAGGAAGTACCAAGCACCTGTGGTACCTTTTGAACTGCACGAAGGCCATGTAATACCAGCCCTCTTTGCTTTCAGTTCTAAAAACTGAAGAAAATATTTTAAAAGATGACAGTACAATATACTCAAAGCCCGGTTTCTTGTAGCTTGCTCTCTCACAGATGGGTTATCCCAAGATTAATGAGACACAAGCAGTGACCTGAAATTCTCCTCTCCCTGGGACATCCACAAGCATCTTCCTTGTTCTCCCCCAGGACTCCCTGTTGCCTACGCTCACACAGCATCCTCTCCCTATCCTTAGGTAGGTTGCTCTCTTGAAGCTCATTACCATGACTCTCAAAGGCTATTATTATCTCTGATGCTGCAGTTCCAGCCCAGCTGACACCACCCCAGGGGTGATGGAGGGAAGAAGGTCAGGACCTGTGCAGGAAACGGTGAGTGACTGACAAACCCATTGCAGAATTATTTTCCTAAGGCACGCAGGCTGATGTGACTCTGTATTTGAACAGCACAGAAGAGGCATAAACCCAGGCAAAGAAACTCTTAGGTAAATAACTCAGAATCTGTATCCAACTTTAGCTCCTATCCTGCCAAGGACCAGGTCGCTTTACCATTAACAAGCCTTAGTTAAGGCAAGCTATTCCCTATTCAAGGAGGCTGAAATCAATTTTGGTACATATGGCCAACACCTAAGCATTTGCTGTAACAGGAAACATTTTATCTTGGCTAACCACAGACACTAAATACAAGAGTCTGTAAGGTAATGATGTTGCCAGCAATAATTTCCCTTATCAATTCTAATCTTAAAAACAGTCTTATACATGAAAAACATACTACTAGTCATATCAAATAAACTTCTCTATTTATCTTTTTATTCTATTTTAAGAGATTATGTCTACTTTATAACAACACTTCTCCAATTTACTCAAGCACAGTATCCTAAGGATCGGGTCTTAATCCTTTATGCATTTTTCTCCCCTCAAGTTCATGCTGTCCACGTATTTAAGTGTTCAAAAGGAGGGAAGCAAGAACCTTCCAGGACAGATTACACATGGGGTCTTACAACAATGCAGACACAACCCCAACAATGCAGACACAACCGAGTTGACACGTTCTGTCAGCACTTGCCAAGTATGCCAGCACCCTACAGTTGACATTTAATTACCAGACCACCAGTAAATGGTTCACAACAGATTTCCAGGGCTAATTTAAAGGCTTGAAACTGAAACCAAAGAAACACAGAAGGTCCAGAAGAATTTTTTAGGATGGGCTGTACCACAAACAAGTCTCTTGTACATCCTCCTCAGAGAAAACACTATATAACCAGAACCACGTTTAGAGGTTGAAGACAAAATTTGTCTTTGCTGTAGTAATGAAAATATTTGATCAACTGCAAAATACAACCAGAAAGAAGAAAGCTGAAAATTCACCCTGACTTGACTTCAACATGCAACTTAGTCCAGTTTATAACCTCAGTGCTTTTTTTTTTTTTGCTTTTTTTTTTTTTTTTAAACATCAGTGCTATCTGTACACACCCAAGTATAGCTGATATATCTCTAAGTAATTTGCTTTTCCTGTGATGAGTCATAACAGAATTGACAGGAAAGAACAAAGACCTGGCCACATGCAAAGGTCAAGTTTACACGCTGCTTTAAGCTATAAATATTGATGGCATACATTTTCATATATACACGTGTATATATGAAAACATAGGCTGCCACAATATGGAATTACCATTACACCCCTACTTCCCAGAATACCACAGTGACAACTACAAGTTGTACAAAAGATCAAAAGAAACATACTCAGACAGGCTTTGACAGATAGATGTTGGTCACCCTTTTTTCCCCCCCAAATACTGAAGCATCTCCAATATAATTAACTCAGTGTAGGAATTACAGGTCAGACAGAGTACAGGGCTGCACACCTGGCATATGTGTGAATATTCAAACACCATCATCACCAAACCACCCACATGCTTCACAGGCACCTTGTAAATCTCACTGTGATAAGGTGCCACATCACCATACAAACACATTTAACAGTGATTCACAAGATCTCCTACTTGGAGGAAAACAGTTATTAATTGAACACCCGTCAAGGGAATGAATCTGGAATTCTATGCACAGTGGATAAATTACAAGGAACTTCTAATAACTCCCACAAGTTCAAGTTCATGGCAGTTTTTATTGTATACTGCATATATTTACACAAGTGGAAGAGAATAAAAAAGAGGCAGCAGACAAGCCAACATTTAATTATCATTCTGGATTTTATTTTTTCAAAAGAAATCCCAAAGCCCTCATACATTTATTCAGTGTTAAGTTTACATTCAATTTATTTTAAGTCACTTAAAATCAGTAGTTTGAAACATATACAAGTGTTCCCCAAATTTTCAAAGTCTAATAGAATATAAAATCTTTCAGAGTTTCAGATTTTCCAGAAATTTGTACACACTGAAGAACAACTGGGTTGGAATATTTCTGTGTAATTGCTGCAACTCAGTTCAAAACTACTGGAACTTGAAATGGCAAGTTTTTTCCTTCTCTCTTTCTCTCTCCTTCTCTAGGCCCTCCCAACCACCACCCTTTTTATTCACATTGGGAATAAACTGCATTTATTTATTGGGCCCAGGTTATTTGCTTTTGCTTTTTTCCCCCCAACTTAGTTTAAAAAAAAAAATACAAAAAATGAATGGGAGGTGGTAGGGAGAAGGAGGAAGGGTTCAGATACATACAGAGAGAATAACTTCAAACTTTAAGAGGCAGATTCACTTAGACTTATTGCTTAAGTAGATAAGGAACACTTTGAATGTCAGTTTTAACATGAAGGTAGTTCTTCATATGAAATGTAGTTTTTGAGAAGTCCTAAAAAATTAATTGTATAAAAGTTGCATAGTCTATATTCACATCATTTAATTACTTTAATCTGAGGAAACATGCATTGCACATACTTATGCTCTGCCACGTAGGAGAACCCAGGCCTTTTTCCTGTTCTTTCTACTGAATGCAACACTCTACAGCAAGCTTTTCACAAAAGCACATACTTCCTATAATTTATTGCCCCAGCAAATAATGACTTGCTGCCTTTTAAAATTTGATAAATGGTTCACAACTTGCAGATCCACAAAAGAATTCCTTGCTGCAGAGTGGAATGGAATTTTTCAGGAATGTCTCCCTTATATAGTAAAGAAGTTCCCTTTTTTTAAAAAAAAAATTAAAACACAGCTTAGGGAAAAAGAAAAAAGAACAACAAAAAAAATCAAACTGCAAGCAACCTCCTAAAAATAAGTTAATAACTTGAAACAATTCATGCCACACAGTGGCAAGCATTTTTAGCATGATTCAACGCTACAACCCCATCTCCAAGTCTTCTTCCTGTTCTCCTTCTGTCTTAGCCTGATTCCACCCAAACCTCTTCAACTATTTAAAACCGCTAAGATTGAAGAATACATCTTAATTTACTGTTGCTTTATTTTTGGCAAATCTTCATTTATTTCAGGTCTCACCTGCTCCCTTTTAACCCTTCTACCTACTAACACCTGCAGCAAAATGCACACATACTACATTCCTCAAGTATCCAGATTCTTGTTGCTCACTAGCTCAAGTTCCTACCCACCAGCCCCATGTCAGGGGGG